TGATCATTTTGATATACACAGAAAAAGCACTTGACAAAATACAATATCCTTTCATGATAAAAGCACTTAACAAATCAATACTGAAGGACCTTATTTCAACACACAAATGTTCATATAAGACACACCCAGAGCCAACACTCAATGATAAAAGGTTGAAAGCTTTTCCTCTAAGATCAGGAATAAGACAAGGGTATCCCCTCTTACCACTCCTATCAATACAATAGTACTGGATATCTTAGTCAGAGCAATCAGACAAGAAAATAAAATAAAAAGCCTCCAAATAGAAAAAGTATAATTGTCTTCGTAGATAATATGGTCTTATATATAGAAAATCCTGAAGACTCCACCAAAAACTGTTAGAACTAATCAATGAATTCAGTACAGCTGTAGGATACAAAATCAACATACAGAAAACAGTTGTGCCTCTTGCCGAAACCAGTTTGGCTCAGCAGTAGAGCGTCGGTCTGCGGACTGAAAGGTCGCAGGTTCGATTCCGGTCAAGGGCATGTACATTGGTTGCAGGCACATCCCCGGTAGGGGGTATGCAAGAGGCAGCTGGTCGATGTTTCTCTCTCATCGACATTTCTAGCTCTCTATCTCTCTCCCTTCCTCTCTGTAAGAAAAATCAATAAGATATATTTAAAAACAAAAAAACAGTTGTGCCTCTATATACTATACCAAAACATTGGAAAATATATAAATAAAACAATCCCATTCACAATAGCATAAAAAAACAAAGTACTTTGAAATAAGTTTAACCATGGAGGTAAAAGATATGTACACTGAAAAAATTTGGTGAAAAAAAATGAAGAAGATACAAACATATGGAAAGATAACCCATGTTCATAAATTGGAATAATAATATTAAAATATTACCCAAAACCACCTATAGATTCAATGCAATTCCTATCAAAAAGGTATTATTTATAGAAAATTTTAAAAAATCCTAAAAATTGCATGGAACTATAAAAGACCCCAAGTAGCCAGAGCAATCATTAGAGAAAAGAACAAAGCTTAAGAGATCATATTCCTGATTTTAAACTATACCACAAAGCTACAGTAATCAAAACACAATGATACCGACATAAAAATAGGTCCACAGACCAATGGAATAGAATTGAGAGCTCAGAAATAAACCTCTGCATATGTAATCAACTAATATTTGAAAAAGGAGCCAAGAATACTCATGGGGAAAGGATAGTCTCTTTAATAAATGACATTGGAAAAATTGGGAAAGAATGCAGAAGAGCTGAAATTGACCTCAATCTTACACCAAAAACAAAAATGAACTTAAGATGGATTAAAGACTTAAACATAAAACCCCAAACTGTAAAATTTCTAGGGGAAACACAAGGAAAAGCTCCTTGACATCAGTCGTGGTGATGATTTCTGGATATGACACCAAAACAAAAATAAATAAACAGGACCACATGAAACGAAAAAGGAAGAAAAACAATCCAATTAAAAATGGGCAGAGAACCTGAATAGACACTTTTCTAAAGGGGACATATAGATGGCCAAGAGACATATGAAATAATGTTCAAAGTCACTAATCATCAGAGAGATGCAAATTAAAATGACAATGAGATATTACCACCTCACTCCTGCCAGAATGGCTACCATCAACGAATCAACAAATGACAAGAGCTGGTGAGGATGTGGAGAATAGAGAAGAGAACCTTAGTGCACTGCTGGTGGGAATGCATACTGGTGCAGGCAATGTAGAAAAGAGTGTGGAGTCTCCTCCAAAAACTAAAAATATAACTGTCATTTGACCCAGATATCCTACCTCTAGGAATCTATCCTAAGTATCCAAAAAACACCAATCAGAAATAATATATGCACTCCTATGTTCATAGCAGCAGCACTATTTATAATAGATAAAATCTGAAAACAGCCCAAATGCCCATTAGCAGATGCGTGGATAAATGAGCTGTAAAAAAAAGAAGGATCTCTTACTCTTTGAGACAGCATGGAGGGACCTGAAGATTATTATGCTAAGCAAAATAAGCCAGTCAGAGATAGACAAGTATCACATGATCTTACTTATATGTGGAATCTAATAAACAAAATAAACTGATGAATAAAATAGATCCAGAAGCATAGAAACATGGAACAGACTGACGAGTCTCAGAGGAAAGAGGGGAGTGGGGTGGGAAGAGATTCATCAAAGAACTTATATGCATACCAAAGGCCCAGTGCACAAAATTTGTGCAGGGGGGGTGTGTGTCCCTCAGCCTGACCTGTACCCTCTCCAATCTGGGACTCCTTGGACATCCCGCTTGCAATCCATGGCCAATGGCTCCTAACCACTCACCTGCCTGCCTGTCTAATGCCCTTAACTGCCCTCCCTGCCCATCTGGTCACCCCCAACTGCCCTCCCCTACTGGCCTGGTCTCACCCCCAACTGCCCTCCCCTGCTGGCCTGGTCTAGCCCCCAACCGCCTTTCCCTGCCAGCCTGGTCACCACCAATTGCCCTCCCCTGCAGGCCTGATTGCCCTAATCCCCTGCCAGCCTGATCTCACCCCTAACTGCTCTCCCCTGCTGGCCTGATTGCCTCTGCCTCTGCCTCAGCCCCCACCACAATGGCTTTGACTGGAAGGAAGTTGGCCATCTGGAAAGATGGCTGGTCAACCTGATCTAATTAGCATATTACCTGTTATTAGTATAGATTATATAGGATAGGATTGCTTAATTGGGGGTGGGGGGGAGGAGGATCCTTTTTCAGCAGGAGGAGATTCTTTTTTAAAAAATGTTCTTTATTGATTAAGGTATTACATATGTATCCTCATCCTTCCATTAACCCCCTCCCCACTCTCCCACTCATGCTCTCACCCTTCCTGGTGTCTGTGTCCATTGGTTAGGCTTATATGCAGGCATACAAGTCCTTTGGTTGATCTCTCCTCCTTACCCCCTCCCTCCCCTACCTTTCCTCTGAGGTTTGACAGTCTGATCGATGATTCTCTGTCTTTGGATCTGTAGGAGGAGATGCTCTTGGCAGACAAAAATATATAACACCTATACATGGACAGATAGCCAGCCATATGCACTATACTGCCAAACGAGTTATTAAAAAAATTGAACCACTCTCTTATATCTTACACCAAACAGTTGTTGCCCCTTAAAACTCCTTCTCAGCCCCCACCGTATGCTGGAGGCAAATTCCAGCAGGTCATAATTATGTAAGTTCATCAGAAGGCTGATGGACATTTTCAGCAGGGCTGAAAATCTGTATATTATTACCTGCTGCTTAACAGCTGCAGGCATTTCCCCTATCCTGATAATCTTTCCTGTTTATCAAACCTTACCTTTGATATGTATATCTGCTTTCCTAGAGGACCATGTGTTTTCCAGGAAATAAAAAGCATGGATCTGAAGATTTGGGGAGCTTAGTCACTAGAGCTCAGTTTCTGTCTGGCTCCCCCAAAATGCGTTTCAAATTTATATTTCTTATCTAGTTATTCATTTATGTGCAGCCCTCCTCCAGATTCCTGAACCCTTGCAGCAAAAAGACTGCAGCACCTTAGGTTCTGCCTTCACAGTTCACTCAGATTAGGTCGGTTTCAATGCCAGTCAGCATCAAAAGCTCTGCCTTCTAGGCAGCCATTGGCTCTTTGCAGTTCACCCAGATTTAGTTCTAATGAGTCAGTTTTTATGCCAGTCAGTGTCAAAAGCTCCTCCTCTTAGGCAGCCATTGGCTCCTCTGGGAAATCCAGAATGGCCCTGCATTCATGTCAGTGCCAGCACTGCAGTCATGCCCCCAGTCCGCTACCAAGTGTATCTCTGCCCACTCTGAGAAGCAGCACCTCAGGTCTGTGCTTGTGGCAATTTTGAATTCTCATCCCTGACTTAACCTTCTTAGAGTGTGAGCTCCATGAAGGTAAGCATTTATCTTGTCCATTCTTAGTTCACTCATAGACTTTACCTGTGTCTATGCATCTATGCTAGCACCACATGGTGACCGGTTGAACAGTCATTTAAGTTATCGCAGTCACTGCCTTTTTTATATATATAGATATGCATTACCCATGACACAGATAATAGGGTGGTGAAGGATGCATTACCCATGACACAAATAATAGGGTGGTGAAGGCCTGGGGTGGAGCGGGAACCAGGTGGATGGGGTCAATAGGAGAAAAACAGGGGGACATCTGTAATACTCTCAATAACAAAGATAAATAAAAACACCAACAAAATGAAGGCAACCTATGGAATAAAAGAAAATATTTGAAAATTATATATCTAATAAGTGGTTAATATCTAAAATATATAAAGAACTCATCTAAATTCAATACTAAAAAACAATCTGATTAGAATATGTGCAGAGGAACTGAATAGACAGTTTTCCAAAGAAGACATATAGATGGCGAACAGGTACTTGAAAAGGTGCTTGACATCATTAATCATCAGGGAAATGCAAATCAAAATCACAATGAGATACTAGTTCATACCTTTCATACTTATTAGAATGGTTATTGTCAAGAAGACAAGAAAATAACAGGTGTTGAGGAAGAGGAAAGGAAACCTTTGCTTGTACATTATTGGTGAGAATGTAAATTGGTACAGCCAATATAGAAGTTTTTGAAAAAAAAAAAAAAAAAGAACTATCATATGATCCAGCAATCTCATGTTTGGGTATTTATCCAAAGAAACTGAAATCAGGACGTGGTAAAGATACCTGCACTCCCATGTTCATTGCAGCATTATTCACAATAGCTAAGATATGGAAACAACCTAAATGTCTGTCAGTGATGAAAAAATAAAGATGATGTGGTATAGATATACATAGTGGAATATTATTCAGACATGAGAAAGAATAAAATTCTATTCTTTGAGACAACTTGGATGAACATTGAAGGTATTATACAAAGTGCAATAAGTAAAACTGATAATGTATAATATTGACTTACATGTGGAAAAAAAAAAAGCCTAACTCAGAAAAACAGAGTGTACTCTATACTGTGATTACCAGGAGCTGGGGTATTGAGAAAATAGAGAGATACTAGTGGGCCAGTGCACGAAAGTCATGCACATTAACAGGGAATCAATTAGAGGAAATATTTTAATGTTGCTATTTGCCCTTTCTCCATAATAGAAGTGTCAGAGATGAAATGTATATGACAATCTCTCTCCTGTCAGAGTCTGGGGCGTGCTCCAGGACCCAGAGTCAAGTCCCCACCCACCCACAAGCACATGAGTCCCAGACCAGGCCGGCCCTACCCCTGTCAAGCCCTGCCAGGTGGGTGGCACAGCCTCAGGTCTCCCGACCCAGACTCATGTCCCCAGGCTCCAGCTGAGGGCGTGAGGGTGTGATGACCATTTGCATATTAGCTCTTTATTATATAGGATTGTTCAAAGGGTATAAACTTCTAGTTTTAAGATTAACAAGTTCTGAAAAGCTAATGCATAGGATTATGATTATAGCTAATAACACTGTATTATATATTTTACTAGAGGCCTGGTGCACAAAATTTGTGCACAGGGCTCGGGGGGAGGTGTCCCTCAGCCCAGCATGCACACTGTCCAATCTGGGACCTCTCGAGGATGTTCAACTGCCAATTTAGACTCGGTGGGATCAGGCCTAAACAGGCAGTGGGACATCCCTCTCACAATCCAGGACTGCTGGCTCCCAAATGCTCGCATGCCTGCTTTCCTGATTGCCCCTAACCGCTTCTGCCTGCCAGCCTGATCACCCCCTAACCATTCCCATGCCAGCCTGATTGATGTCTAATTGCTCCCCTGCCAGCCTGTTTGCCCCCAACTTCCCCCCTCTGCCGGTTCAGTCACCCCTAACTGCCCTCCCCTGCAGGCGTGATTGTCTCCAACTGCCCTCCTTTGCAGGCCTGGTCCCTCCAAACTGCCCTCCTCTGCTGGCCATCTTGTGGTGGCCATCTTGTGTCCACATGGGGGCAGAATCTTTGACCACATGGGGGCAGCTACCTTGATCTTGTGTGTTGGAGTGATGGCCAATCTGCATATTACTCTTTTATTAGATAGGATAGAGGCCTAGTGCATGGATGTGGTCCAACTGGTATGCCCTGAAGGGTGTCCTGGATCAGGGTGGGGGTTCCCTTGGGATGTGGAGTGGCCTGGGTGAGGGGCCTATGGTGGTTTGCAGGCCATGCCCCTCCTGTTCTCCATGACCCAAGCGGAGGCCCTGGTATCTGTGATATATTTAACTTCTACAATTGAAACCTTGTAGTCTAGAGCAAAGCCAAGCCTTCTGTTTGCTCCGTGGCAGCAGCCATTTCTGTTGGGGTTTATTCACCTTCTATAATTGAAACTTTGTATCCTGGAGTGGAGGCCTAGGCTGGCCAGGGCAGGTGGAAAGCTTGGCTTCCTCCAATGCCGGGAGCAACCCTAGTCTGCTCTCTCCAGCTCCATGGCTACCACCATTTTTCTTGGGATTTATCTTCTATAATTGAAACTTTGTACCCTTGAGTGGAGGCCTAGGCCCACCAGGTTGTGTGGAAAGCTTGGCTTCCTCCATTGTCGGGGAAACCCAAGCCTCCCTCCTGCTCTCTGTGGTGGCAGCCATCTTGGTTGGGGTTAATTTGCATATTTGCTCTGATTGGCCAGTGGGTGTGACTGGCGGGCGTGGCTTGTTAGTCTAGCAGAGTGATGGCTAATTTGCATATTACTCTTTTATTAGGTAGGATATCTCAGCTGTGAGGAGCCCAGCCCAGAGCACTAGAACTGATAAAGGTGCCCACATAACATCTGGCTGTGAAAAGCAGCAAGGTTGCTGTCTGCCAGTCAGAGATAGTTGGAAATGCAGGCATCTTCTTAAAGAACTAATGCACAAAATTTCACATGCATCCATGCACCTTGGGCTTTGGCAGAGGGAGGGCAGAGTGGACTGAAGCTGTGTGAACAGAAGCCAGGGTTGGGAACTCTGGGGTTAGCCCTCAGAACAGACACCCAGGTTTCCTGTGCTGAGTTATTCCCTCATGCTATGGAGGACATCTTTCTCTAGCTCACCTTTGCTAATAAGGAGGTTTTTGCCTAGGGGGAAGGCAGTTGCCCCACCCTACTGGAAAATCTCTATACCACTCTGTTCAATATCCTGAGGCTATCAATCAGACTGCAGACAGAGGTGGGTCTCTGGTAGCTTTGAATCTTCGTCTGACCTAATTCAGGACTTGGGGCTAGGAAAAGCAGACCTTGGTGAATATCTTGGTCCTTTTCAGCAGAGGGAGCCACAAGTTGTGGAGTGCTGATAGCTCCAAATAGGATATGCAGGACCAGTCAGAAACAACATCTGACACTGTCCTACACTAGAGATTGGGAGACATAGCAGATCCACCTAATACACAGTCATAAACTCAAATAGGCAGCCAAAATGGGGAGAAAAAAAAGAAAAAGCCTCATAGAATAAGAGAATTCTCCAGAAGAAGAGCTAAAAGAAATGGAGATATTTATCAGACACAGAGTTCAGAATAATGATGGAAAAGATGATCAATAGTATGAGAAAAGATATATTAACTCTGAAAAATGACACAGCACTAATAAAGAACACAGAGGAAGGAATACACAGCAGATTAGGTGAAGTAGAGGATTGGGTCAGTAAATTAGAAGACAGGGTAGAAAAAAAATCACTCAATCACAGAACCCAAAAGAAAAAACAATTAAAAAAACAGGAGGACAGCTTAAGGGAGCCATGGGATAACATGAAACATAACAACATTCACATAATAGGAGAATCCTAAATATTCCATCAAAAAACTACTATAAATCTATGAACGAATTGGGCAATGTAGCAGGATACAAGATTAGCGCCCAGAAATTGCTGAAATTTTTACATACCAATAATGAAGTCTCAGAAAGAGAAACTAAAATAAACAATCCCATTTACTATAGCAACAGAAAAAAAAGTAAGATATCTAGGAATAACCTTAACCAAGGAGGTTAAAGACGTATTCTGAAAACTAACTGATGTTGAAAAAAAACCCCCAAAAAAACAGAGGAAGATATGAACAAATAGAAGAATATATTGTGTTCATGGATTGGTAGAATTAACATATTAAAATGTCCATACTACCAAAGCAATCTATAGATTCAATGCAATCCCTATTAAATTACCAATGGAATATTTCATAGTTCTAGAACACTCCACAAATTCATATGGAACCAAAAAGATAGCCACAGCAATCTTGAAAAAGAAGAACATACCCTAGAACATACTCTGTGTCTGATAAATATCTCTAGTGTAGGACAGGTTTTGCTCAGTGGATAGAGCATCAGCTTATGGATTAAAGGGTCCCAGGTTTGATTCTGGCAAAGGGCACATGCCTGGGTTGTGGGCTTGGTTCTCAGTAGGGGGTGTGCAGGAGGCAGTCAATAAATGATTCTCTTTCATCATTGATGTTTCTATTTCTCTTTCCCTCTCCCTTTCTCTCTGAAATAAATAAAAATATTTTAAAAAAATAACGAAGTTGGAGGGATCACAATATCAGATATCAAGTTATACTACAAAGCCACTGTAATCAAAACAGCCTACTACTGGCACAAGAGATTCTAGAAATTGACCCAAGCCATTACATCAATTAATATTTGACAAAGAAGGCAAGAGCATACCCTGGAGTCAAGAGAGTCTCTTCAATAAATGGTGCTGGGAACAATGAACAGATGCAAAAAAATAAAACTAGACTACCAACTTTCATTATACACATAAATAAACTCAAAATGGATTAAAAAAAAAAACAACTTAAATATAAGACGGGAAACCATAAAAATCCTAGAAGAAACCATAGGCAGCAAAATCTCAGACATCTCTCATAGCAATATATTTGCAGATACATTTCCTATGGCAAGGGAATCAAAGGGAAAAAATAAACAAGTGGGACTACATAAAAATAAAAGTTGCTGCACAGCAAAATAAATTATCAACAAAATGAAAAAACAAAAACAAAAACAGTCCATTGCATGGGAGAGCATATTTGCCAATGATTCATCTGATAAAGGGTTAATTTTCAAACTATATAAGGAACTCATATAACTTAACAAAAGGACAGCAAACAATCCAATTAAAAAACAAGCAAAGGACCTAAATAGACATTTCTTCAAAATGGACATACAGAAGGCGAGGAGACATGAAAAAATGCTCAAAGTCATTAACCTGAGAGATGCAAATTAAAATGACAAGGAAGTATCACCTCACACTTGTCAGAATGGCTATCATCAGCAAATTAACAAAGGACAAATGTTGGTGAGGACGTGGAGAAAAGAGAGCCCTAACATACTGTTGGTGGGAATGCAGACTGGTGCAACCACTGCGGAAAACATATGAAGTTTCCCCACTACCCCCCCAAAAATTAAAAAATAGAACTGCCATTTGACTCAGTGATCCCACTCCTAGGAATATATCTCAAGAATCTTCAAACACCAATCAGAAAGAATATATGCACCTTTATGTTCATAGCAGCACAATTTAAATGCAGTAGTTAAGATTTGGAAACAGCCCAAGTGCCCATTAGCAGATGAGTGGATAAAAAAGCTGTGGTACATTTACACAGTGGAATAGTATGCAGCTATAAAAAAGAAAGAACTCTTATTTGCAACAGCATGGATAGACCTGGAGAGTATTATGATAAGTGAAATAAGCCAGTCAGAGAAAGACAAGTATCACATGCTCTCACTCATAAGTGGAATCTAATAAACAAAATAAACTGATGAACAAAATAGATCTAGAGACATAGATGCATGGAAAAGACTGTGGAGTTGTAGAGAGAAGGCAGGGGAGTATGGGTGGGTGGGAGGCTACCAACCAAAGACCTTGTATGCACATAGGGTATGCATATGCACAGATAGTGAAGTGGTGAGGGCCAGGAGCAGAAGGCGGGGGTGGGCTAGAGGGGGTCATTTGGGGAGAAAGGGGACATATATAATACTTTCAATAAAGATGTAAAAAAACAAACAAAACACCCAAAAAAACCCACAAATGAACAACAACAAAAAACTAAAAAAAATAAAAATTAAAAATTCAAAAAGTATCCCAAATGTGAAAGTTGGCCCAAATTTATTTAGTTATTGGAATTATTTATTTTTCAATTATAGCTTACATTCAATATTATTTTGTTTTAGTTTTAGATGTATAGCATAGTGGTTATATAATCATAGTAGAATCCCGGTGCACGAAATTCATGCATGGGTGGGGTGTCCCTCAGCCCAGCCTGCACCCTCTCTAATCTGGGACCCATCGAGGGATGTCCGACTGCCCTGTGGGATCGGGCCAAAATGGGCAGTTGGATATCCCTCTCACAATCCAGGACTGCTGGCTCCCAACCACTTATCTGCCTGCCTGCCTGATTGCTCCTAACTGCTTCTGCATGCTAGCCTGATCACCCCTAACCACTCCCCTGCCAGCCTGATTGGTGCCTAACTGCTCCCCTGCCAGCCTGATTGTCCCTAACTGCCCTCCCCTGCTGGCCTGATCACTCCTAACTGCCCTTTCCTGTTGGCCTGGTCACCCCTAACTGCCCTCCCCTGCTGGCCTGGTCACCCCTAACTGCCCTTTCCTGTTGGCCTGGTCACCCCTAACTGCCCTCCCCTGAAGGCCTGGTTACCCCTAAAGGCCCTCCCCTGCAGGCATAGTCCCCCCCAACTGCCCTCCCCTGCAGACCTGGTTGCCCTTAACTGCCCTTCCCTGCCAGCCTGGGTCCTCCCCAACTGCTCTCCCTGTTGGTCTGATTGCTCCCAACTGCTCTCCCCTGTTAGCCTGATTCCCCCAACTGCCCTCCCTTCCTGGACTGATAGCCCACAACTGCCCACCCCTGCGGGCCAATTTGTGGTGGCCAACTTGTTGTTGGAGTGACAGTCAATTTGCATATTACCTCTTTATTATATAGGATACTTTACAAGTGTTCCTTGAAATTTCCAGTACCCACCTGGCACCATACATAGTTATTGTAATGTTATTGACTATATTCCTTTTTTAAGAAGAAATTAAGAATTCTACAGCAACCTGCTAAATTTGAGAGGTAGGGCTTATCTTTTAACATCAAACAAATAAGGTAGATAACTGACTGGGCTGTTAAATATGTCTGTTATTAGGTAATATCACACCATGGGAAAGTAAGCACAGCTCTCAGATTCCAGTTTGCATTTCTCAACCTGTGAGTTGTCACTGCTACCTTTAACATCACACCATGGGGAATTTTTTTAAAAACACAATTTTCCTTCATGTATTATGAGTAACAAATAATGTTTAACAAATAGGAAGTATTTGGCTGAAAAACTGTATAGTTTCAAAATTCTGATGAACAGTTTTAGTAAATGTACAATACAATTTAGAAACAAAAGGAACTTAGAATTAATGTTTTAAAAACTGTTCTAATTCTTTTTCTATTTCTAAGTGTTTGGCTTTTCTTTCTTTCACTTCCCATGTCTGTCCTCTATCTCTGTCCTCATCCTATTTTCTCTTTGTTTCTTTTATTCATTTTTTAAAATCTCCTGACTAATCTCATTTATTTATTGAACTAAAAATATCATAACATGACAAAAGAGAATTAGTGAAATTTTATAGGCAACAGTAAACAGAAAATGTAGCAGAGATAGAGTAACTTAAACTAATTAATCTAATGGTTCTTTTCCTTCAAATAGTAATTCCTAATATCTATTGAAGAGTTAACTACTGATAAGAATCTTGAATATGAACACCAACTTCCCTAAGGTAACTCCTATTGCATCAACCTAAGTAGCAGCTGAATTTTGATAGGATCTTATCAAAGTTCAAGTGACTAACCTGTTCCTGGGTCATCTTCTGCAGCTCATTCTCCCAAGTTGCCTGGTCATCGTCCAAGTTATAGGAAGCTGGTGGAGTGAGCCCACGAAGGATCAGGGGGTCTCGGTCATGGCAGAGGGCTGTCAGGTGTCCAATATACAATTTTAATTTGCTTCTATTTTGGTCAAGTTCTAAGAGAGGTTGGATGATCTAAGGTGAAAAAAAAATGAGGAAAGTCAAGATCAGTCTAAAACGAGCTTAAATATCTTTATGCCTCCCAAGTGAAAATAAAAACTGACCAAATCACTACTGAAATCTTCAGGATCATAAAAAGAAACAGTTTCACACACCTGCACATTTATAGTATCACACTCAACCACCACTCTGGGAGATGGGTAGGGGATCTTGGCTTAGTGCATCAATACAAGACAAAGAGTTCCATACTCTGGCAGGGAATTAAGCACAGGACTGACTTGTTTTTACAGAGATGACATTACTGATAAGGACTCTAATTACCTCACAATTTTTCTTCCATTTATTTATGAACAGGTTACAAAAAGCTGCTAGTGAAATCTGCTCATCTGAAAGCCTGGGCAACATACACTTTGTGTGTTCCTCCACCTCCTAGAATGGACGAAAAATGTTGTCTCTGGAGAAGGTGCATGTTTTCCTTGGCCAAGAGATGCGATGAGTGAATTCATTACCAACCTGCCTCATCCTGGCTTAAGCTCCCTCATTCTTTTACAGAGGCTATCTGATATTCTTTTTAAACAATGATTGATAAATCTTTATATAACACGAAATACCTGACTCATGGCCAAAGACTCTGAAATTCTCTTAGTTGTAACATTGGTTCTATGTTTTTCTTGAAAAGCAGTCCTCTCTTTCTCTATTACATTCCCTTTGCCCTGGATGAGTAAGTATCCCTTTGACTCCCTTTGGAAGCCATTATATGACAGATGGATTCTGCCCCAGAATTTCATTTAACAGCTCTCATGACAAATACTCTGGTCAGGTACTTAGTATAGTTGGTTAAAGCCTGGGGAGTTTAGGAACAGTTGGGCCAGATCTCACATCTCAGAGCACTGAAATATTAAAGCAGCATCTGCTTGATACACAGCAGCTGTGAAAGCTGCAAAACGCAGCCAAAATACTGGTAATTCTCAAAATGTTCCCAGGACTTAAAAGGTAGAGGTATGCACTCACTGCATGTTACTGGGCTGGCATTCTTCATCAATAGGACACCTCTGACCCACCTAATGAATAAGGAGCTCAGAAATATTCAAGTCAATAGAAGCAAGGTCTGATATTACTTTCAACAGTGACACTGATTTCCTCTGGCCTCCTCAGAGGAGTGCTCCTACTGCTTTCCTTTCTAAGGGTTTGTAAACAATCCTACCTAATAAAAGAGCAATATGCAAATTAGCCATCACTCTGCTCAAGCCACACCCACCAGCCAATCAGAGTGAGTATGCAAATTTACCCCAACCAAGATGGTTGCAGCCATACAGAGCAGTTGAAAGGCTTGGGTTTCCCCAGCAATGGAAGCCAAGCTTTCCACCTGCCATAGCTGGCCTAGGCCTCCACTCAAAGATACAAAGTTTCAATTATAGAAGATAACTCCCAAGAAAAATGGCAGCAGCCATGGAGCTGGAAAGAGCAGGCTAGGGTTGCCCCTGGCAATGGAGGAAGCCAAGCTTTCCACCTGCCCTGGCCGGCCTAGGCCTCCACTCAAGGCTACGAAGTTTCAATTATAGAAGATACATAAAACCAAACAGAAATGGAGGCAGCCACGGAATGAGCAGAAGGCTTGGCTCCGCTCTAGGCTACAAAGTTTTAATTGTAGAAGGTAAATAAATTCCAGATACCAGGGCCTCTGTTTGGGTCGCCGGTGTGTGTGGCTGGCCTGCAAACAACCACAGACCTCTCGCCCAAACCACCCCACACCTCAAGGGAACACCCTCAGGACAAACCAGCTGGCCCCCACCCATGCATCAGGCTTCTATCTAATAAAAGAGTAATATGCAGATTGACCATCACTCCAACACACAAGATGGCTGCCCCCATGTAGTCAAAGATCCTGCCCCCATGTGGACACAAGATGGCCACCACAAGACGGCCAGCAAGGGAGGGTAGTTGGGAGGCACCAGGCCTGCAACGCAGGGCAGTTGAGAGGGACCAGGTCTGCAAGGGAGGGCAGTTAGGGGTAGCCAGGCTGGCAGAGGAGGGAAGTTGGGGACAAACAGGCTGGCAGGGGAGCAGTTAGACATCAATCAGGCTGGCATGGAAGTGGTTAGGGGGTGATCAGGCTGGCAGGCAGAAGCAGTTAGGGGCAATCAGGAAGGCAGGCAAGTGAGCAGTTGGGATTCAGCAGTCCTGGATTGTGAGAGGTATGTCCAACTGCCCACCACGATCGGGTCTAAACGGGCAGTTTAAACATCCCTTGAGGGGTCCCAGATTGGAGAGGATGCAGGCTGGGCTGAGGGACACCCCCACTCCGTGCACAAATTTCGTGCACCGGGCCTCTAGTGTCATATAATTTTTATTATATAATCAATACCCATTTTACTCTGAAAAATACTTAGAGAAACTGTAAAAGAAATAATAAAAGAGCCTTTAGGTATTTCATGAAGAATACAACCTGAATGACTTCTGGTCAAGATGGCGGTGTAGATAAACATAATCCTCCCACAACCACATCAAAATTGCAACTAAACTACAGAACAACCATCATTCAGAATTACCTGAAATCTGAATGGAAGTCCTACAACTAGGGAATAAAGAAGAGGCCACATGGAGATTGGTAGGAGGTGGGGAGATATGGAATGTGCTGGTCTCACACCCATGTTTGCTAGATAAAAACCAGGAAAGGTATCTCGGCTACAGAGGTCCCTGGAAGAGTGGACTACGCCAGGTCCCCCAGCCCAGGGCTCCAGTGCCAGGAAGAAAAGTCCCCATTGCTTCTGGCTATGAAAATTGAGGCTTGCGGAAACAGAGGGCTGTTCTTAAAGAGACCACATATGGACTTACTTAGACTCACTTCCTCTGAGCTCCAGCATTGGGGCAGCAGCTTGAAAGGCACCAGAGACATACAAGGAGGACCTGAAGTGTCTGGTATCAAGGCAGGAGCTGGGGGTACGGCCTTTTTCCCAGAGAGAAGTGCTGGCAGAGGCATTGTTCCTTTCATGAGACCTCCCCTCACAGAGCCAGCAAACGGGCACCATATCTGAGACTCCATCAACCTGGCCTATACTGTGTGCCCTGCCCTGGTGATTCCTTGAGGCCCTGCCCTAGCTAGATTTTTGGGCCCAACCAAGTTATTTCCATATGAATAGCCTATCTTAGCTCATCTTTCAGATTTTCCTGAAATCTCTCCAACAAACTGCACCTGGCCTCAGTGTGTCCTGTAACTCTAAGTGGTCGGAGGCCTGGCACTAGCAGTCTGCCTTGGTTCACAACTTGGCCTCGCCTGGGCACCTCCAAGTCAAGCATAAGCATCATCCATCTGTAGACCACTTTGTAGCTCATGTCAGATGGCCCTGAGCAGAACACAGGTTGCAAATGACCTTGGCCTGCACCTTCAGGAAGGCCCCAGAGTCAGCACACCCAGTGGACAGCTTCAGACCATGTTGAAGCACCACCCAAGCACCTCCACAAGCAATACACTCAAAGAGTGGACTCAGCAGGCACCAGAGCCCTGATCAAGTAAGTTCTGCTCTGTGGGGTGAACCCATGAAGAGCTGATCCTCTACCGTCGCCAGAAGTTGGTGGTTGGAGCCAGTCCTTGCAGCTGATTGGCCTGGGGGTAAATCCCTCCAATTGACATGTCAGCACCAATCAAGGCTCAACTATAAGAAAAGAGTGGACATAGCCCACACGGGTGTGCACCTTGAGGACCCAGCTTGGGTGATCATGAAGGCTGTGCCAGTGGACCCTACAGAACACCTATTACATGAGGCCACTCTGACAAGCCTGGGAGACATAGCAGCTCCACCGAATACCTAAAAACAAACACAGGGAGGCTGCCAAATGAGGAAGCAAAGAATCATATACCAAATGAAAAAACAGAACATTGTTCAAAACACTGGTTATAAGGATTCTCAATGAAGAGAACTTCAACAGATAAAGAAGAGACATGGAGCCCTGACCAGTTTGGCTCAGTGGATAGAGCGTTAGCCTGCGGACTGAAGGGTCCCTGGTTTGATTCTGGTCAAGGGCATGTACCTTGGTTGTGGGCACATCCCCGGTAGGGGGTGTGCAGGAGGCAGCTGATCAGTGTTTCTCTCTCATCGATGTTTCTAACTCTCTATCCTTCTCCCTTTCTCTCTGAAAGAAATCAATAAAATATTAAAAAAAAAAAAAAAGAAGAGACATGGAAATCATAAAAATGAAGTAGTCAGAAATGAAGAATACACTAACTGAAATGAAGAATAATTTACAGGGAATCAACAGTAGAGTAGATGAAGCTGAGAAATCAGGGATTTGGAATATAAGAAAGCAAAAAACACCCTATCAGAACAGCAAAAAGAAGAAAGAATAAAAGAAATGAGAGTAGTGTAAGGAGACTCTAGTCAACTTCAAGTACACCAACATTTGCATCACAGGGGTGCCAGAGGAGAAGAGAGTGAGCAAGAAATTGAAAGCCTATTTGAAAAATAAGGATAGAAACTTCCCTAACTTGGTGAAGGAAAGACATACAAGTCCAGGAAACCCAGAGAGTCCCAAACAAAATGGACCCAAAGAGGCCCATATCAAGATGCATCATAATTATTAGGTCTAGTAATAATTAATGTCGTTTTAAAACATTCGTTTAAAATCTTGCTTGGCGTTGACTTGTATTGACATAACCTTCAAACACGTGGTATCTACAGAACGTGTGAAGTGCAATTAACAAGTTTTGCTTGAAAAAGTTTGTGTTTGGTTTGGTTTTTGTTGCAAAACTAGGGCTAAGAAGATGGCGGATGAAGAGCATATTCGGCACTGCATGCTTTACGAGTTCCAATTAGGAAGAAAAGCAAGTGAGGCTGCAAAAAACATCTGTAGTGCTCTTGGTCAAGATGCAGTTAGCGCCAGAAAATGCCAGCGTTGGTTTGAGAAATTTCGCGAGGGAAATTTTTCATTAGATGACAAGAGTGGGCGAGGCTGTGTGTCCAATTTTGATCAAGAAGCTCTTCAAGCTCTTTTGGTGCAAAATCCTCAAATTACCCAACAAGAGCTTGCGACAACTTTAAATTGTTCACAAAAAACAATTTCCAATCAATTGCGTGCACTTGGCAAAGTCCAAAAGTTTGGAAAATGGGTTCCTCATGAGTTGACCGACAACAACCGTAATCAAAGAGTCCCAATTTGCAGTTCGCTCCTCTCTCGTCAAAACCGTTTGCCGTTTTTAGAGCAAATTGTTACCGGAGATGAACAATGGGTGCTGTATGTTAATTTGAAAAGGTGGCCTCAATGGTTGGACAAAAATGAGGCTCCACAGCCCACGCCAAAACCTGACTTGCATGCGAAAAAAGTGATGTTGTGTGTTTGGTGGAATTTTAAAGGAATTCTTCATTATGAACTTGTACCATCTAACCAAACCATTACAAGTGCAGTGTATAGTGCCTAATTGGAAAGGTTAGCCCAAGCTTTAAGAGAAAAAGAACCCGCGCTGATTAATCGGAAGGGCGTAATTCTTCACCATGATAACACACGACCGCATACTGCAAGAATCACTGCTGAAAAACTGCGCCAGTTGGAATGGGAAGTTCTCCCTCAACCTGCATATTCTCCTGATATTGCCCCTTCCGATTACCATTTGTTTCGTTCTTTGCAAAACTTTCTTCTTGGAAAAAAATTTAATAATGAAGAATGCCTCAAAAATGCATTGACCGAATTTTTTGCATCAAAATCACATGAATTTTACAACAGAGGGATTACAATGCTTCCTGAGCATTGGGCACAAGTAGTAGAAAACAACGGCAACTATATTGTTGATTAAATTTTGTTGTATTGTTTAAATAAATTCGATTTAAAAAAAAGTATTAGAAAATGACATTAATTATTACTAGACCTAATAGAATGCCAAAAGGTTAAAAACAAAGAGAGAATTTTAAAATACCATGGCCTGGGCAAGTCTATTTGAAGAAGTCGCATTAGAAGAAGTTTAAGTTTAAAAAATTTGGCTCTGAAAAGAAATTTCAATCGTTATACTGTTGATAATTGGCTCTGTTGACTAATGAGTTTGTCAACCACTGGGCTAGATAAACCTGAGAAAGTGAATTAATTTAGCATTATTTTCATTTTTCTTTGTTAATCTTCACCCAAGGACATTTTCTACATTGATTTTTAGAGAGAGTAGAAGGAAGGATGAGAGACAGAGAGAGAAACATCAATGTGAGAAAGAGACATTCATTGGCTGCTTCCTGCATGTAACCTGACTAGGGCCAGGGATCGAGCCTACAACCAAGGTATATGCCCTTGACTGGAAACAAACCCTGTGACCCTTTAGTCCATAGCCTGACACTAATCATTGAGACAAACCAGCTAGGGCAGCATTATTTTTATTTCTTTTCTTTTTTAATTGGATCATTTAATCCATTTACATTTAAAGTTATTATTTACTAGAGGCTTGGTGCACGAAATTTGTGCACGGGGGTGGGGGGGGGGGAGGGGTGTGTGTGTGTAATGTCCGACTGCCAGTTTAGGCCAGATCCCAGGACTGCTGGCTCCCAACTACTCGCCTGCCTGACTTCCTGATTGCCCCTAACTGCTCCTGACTTCCAGCCTGATTTCCCCTTAACCACTCCCCTGCTAGCCTGATTGGTGCCTAACTGCTACCCTGTTGGCCTGTTTGATCTTAACTGCCCTCCCCTGCATGCCCGGTCACCCCCAACTTACCCCCTCTATTGGTCTGGTCACCCCTAACTGCCCTTCCCTGCAGGTTTGATCACTCCCAACTGCCCTCCCTTGCAGGCCTGGTCCCTCCCAACTGCCCTTCCTCCCCCCGCTGGCCTGATCGCTCATAACTGCCCTCCCTTGCAGGCCTGGTGCCTTCCAACTTGCACTCCCATGCTGGCCATCTTGTGGCAGCCGTCTTATGCCCACATGGGAGCAGCCATCTTTGACCAATGGGGGCATCCATCTTGTGTGTTGGAGTGATGGTCTATTTGCATATTACTCTTTTATTAGATAGGGTAGGGGTCTCGTGCATGGGTGGGGGCCAGCTGGTTTGTCCTGAAGGGTGTCCCAGATCAGAGTGGGGTTTCCCTTGGGGCGTGGGGCAACCTATAGTTCTATATCTTTTTTGGCAAAAAGTAAAAAATTAACTTCCTAACTAACATCTGCTTGTATCAAATACAATAGAATGCCAGAACAGCCAACTTTCTCTAATCCTACATTTATCAAATTAAGGAAAAGAATCTATATATATAAAAGCCTAAGTCACTGTTATGACCAATTGGCCAGCAGTAACTATGATTTGCACTGACCAACAGGGGGTAGACTCTCAACACAGGAGCTGCGCCCTGGTGGTCAGTGTGCTCCTACAGCCAACTTCCTGTAGCCAGCCAACTTCCCATGATCCCTCCCCTTGGCCAGCCAACCTCCCCCCCATAACTGGCTGGCCCTGATTGGCCCCGATGGGGCTGGCAGACCAACCTCCTGCAGTCCCTCCCCCTGGCTGGCCAGGCCTGATCAGCCCTGATTGCTATACAGGCTGAGGGACCCCACCATGCACAAATTCATGCACTGGGCCTCTAGTTTAAATTATAAAAAAGATGAGAGATTTTTGGTTGAAATACTGAGAGCTTTGCTTTTTACTTGCAAAAATTTATTTGCTTATGTATTAGATCCTTACACTGGCTTCAGGGGCCAGTATTAAATGACATATAGTGACAGAGGATAGTGATCTTTCCCAAAGTGTTTATTTTAATCTCCTTTTCTCTTAAGGTTAGATGGATAAATGGCTTTTTAAGACAGATGAGTTGTTCCTGTATTGTTTGATAGGATTTAACTGGAAATTCTAAGTACTCCATGTATGTAATTGATTCATCTATGAGATCTGAATACATTTTCCTAGAACATTTGACTTTTCAATACCAGGATGGAATGTGCAGAGCCGAAGACCCCTAATGAAGTAATTATATGGCCTGCTTTTCTCTTCCCACCCTTCCGTTTCTGTGCCACTTACTCTGAGTATAGGTGAGTCGGCTGCTACACACTCTACGAACTCACTTTGAGAGGAATGGAATATCTGTATCATGAAGCCTGGACAAGTAGGCGCTGAATATTATTATTTTTATATTTCCTATGATGCTTCTGTGGCTAGTGCACTGCCCTTAATTGGCTACAAAATCTTTTTTCTTCTATCTGCAGAAGCCTGCAGAAGTGGATTAAACTGTCCATATATTAACTGTATAAATGCTAGTGGCAGTTTTGATTTCTCATTTCTCGTAGGTACATCAAGAAAGTCCCAGAACAACTAACATATTAACTTCCCAGAGAAACATTATTCTTGTCCAGAGGCCCTTGCAGAGAGCTAAAGTTTGAAAAGTAGAATTGGAGGAGGGAATAAAATTCATCAGCCCAAGCACAAAGTCTATTTTCCCCTTAATAACTAAGTTTATCTTCTTGGTCAATACTGTCCTTCAGGATCAGGAAGTTGAAGAATAGTGTTAAGTCTCCTCACAAAGGTTTGGAACTTCGTGTTATGTCCTCACTTAAATGTAGCTATTTTGTGAAACAATGGAGTTCTTTGAAAAAAAATATAGTAAACCCTCAATGTTTTTGCTACTCTGATTAGATACACTACATATCAGATCACACATATTGAGACTAGTGAATCCCATTGTGCCGTGCCATATCCAGTTTTAGCTGATGGGAATATTTAAGAACAAGATGTGGTCCTAATTTCCATTAAAAAAAAAAAGATGAAATAAAAGAACTAATGTGTTGAGTATATAAAATAATTAAAATGTATAAATTCATGATTTATCTGTTCTAACCTTAATTAAAAAAATACATTTTTATTGACTTCAGAGGAAGAGAGAGAGAGATAGAAATATTGAGAATCATTAATTGGCTGCTCCTGCACGCCCCCTACTGGGGATCGAGCCTGGGACACTTCAGTCTGCAGGCTGATGCTCTATCCCCTGAGCCAAACCAGCTAGGGCTAACTTTTATTTTGAAGTTTATTTCAAGGAAACCCTTAAATTGCTAAATAAACTTCCTTGCCTTCATTTGAGGCTTAGTCTGACTAAGTCATTATATATAGAGTTATGACATTCAACAAGTTCTATATTTTTAATGTTTATGAGATCCAGCCTTTTAATCAGTCTTTCCATTAGAAGCACAGAGGATATTAATGGGTTCCTACATGTTTTTGGTGTTATGTTCCTTTCTTGTTTTATTTTTAAATCCTCACCTGAGAACACTTTCATTGGTTTTTAGAGAGAGGGGGAGAAAGGGAGGGGAGAAAAAGAGAGAAGAAGGGAGGGAAAATAGAGAGAGTATGCGAGAGAAACATTGATGTGAGAGAGAACAGCTGCCTTTGTATGTGCTGCAACTGGGGACTGAA